CACCAACAAGTTTGACTACTGGGTGTGCAAATGTGAATATTGTCAAGATTGAAAAGAATATTGAGATTTTTCAGCAGCAAACTTATAGCTTATTGGGCCATATTCTAAAAATAGTCAGCAAATTACTTTTTATAAAGATTATTTAAAATATGGTTTTATCAAAATGTAAAATAATCCAATATAACTAACAGATCTCAATATAAAACTGAATGGCACTCATCTAAGTGAAATATTAAAACATTAAAAAAGTACAAGATCCTTATAAAAATTAGTGAGCTCAAATTGTTAATAATCCAAAGCAGTATTTTGAAATAGATAAAGGTCTAAATTTGTTGGGACTAATCTTGTCATTATGATATTTACATTAACATGGTAAAAAAAGAAAGTAGCTCACCCAGATGCTACTCTTTAAAACTCCAGCTGATCGCGGAGACTTACAGGGGCAGTTCTACCCCATCTTATAGTGTGGCCATGAGTTAGTTTTGATTGATGGCAGTGTAAGTGATGCCCAGAAACTATTGATAATATTCTCTTACATAAAATGACCATGATGTGTCTAAGGTGAACCAGAGACATATATAACCATAGATGCATGAATGGATTTTGGGTGTGCCTTTAATTCTAGCCCTAATCTAAGAACAATTAGTTATTATGACATAGCCCTCCTTGGTGCTCAACCTCATGAGGATCTGGATGCTATATCAAAGTGTGGAGAAGAAACAGGAATGGTGCCCACCCATCACAAAGAATAGTGCCTGGGGTCTTAAAGACTTGTTCTCAAAAAAGCAGCCATCTAAGTGAGGTGTCAACTAAGTCCACATGGAGGAAGCACACCAGCCTCTGTGACCCAGGGATTATAAATAATATAATCCAAATCTAAAGGAGGGAATGGCATCAGAGTTTAAGATGTGACCATCTGGTTTGCAGAAGGCACACAAAAAATAAGTCAAATAAAATAAAACCCCAACTGATATAGATTCACTATATAGTTCTGTTCTCTTGTGAGCAATCAGGTCCTAAATTATTAGGAATCAGGTGGTAAATTAAAAGTAATATGTCTCAATCAGTACTGCCATAACTCAAACATCAGAGGGTATTATTTATTCTGGAACCGTCTCCAAGAATATTTTGTTCCCAGGAGTCCACATAAAAATAGGAGACGTCGAACAGTGTAAGGCAAGACAAAATAATAATAATTTCTAAATTATCAAGGGTTCATGAGGGAGGGGGCAACAGGGAGGGAGGAGAAATATGAGGAGCTGATACCAAGGGTCTCAAGTAGAAAGCAAATGTTTTGAGAATGATGATGGCAACAAATGTACAAATGTGCTTGACACGATGTATGTATGTATTGTGATAAGAGTTGTACGAGCCCCCAATAAAAATGATTTTTTTTCAATCTATGGGTGAGTGTTTTTAGCAACTTTAATGATTACCATCAGGCACCTTGATAATGCAAATAATTTGGCAGATCAAACAAAGTGGCACCACAGGAAAAAAGGGCCTGGCAATCTGCTTCCATAAAGATTAGCATCAAAAACCCTACTGAATGGTCCTACTTTGTAACACAGTGAATGGTTATCAGTTGGAATTGAATGAATGACAGTGAGTTGCTTTGTTTTTTCTTTAATTCATCATTGCTAAAACCAATAAATAAATTAATGAATAATAAAAAAATAACAAATAGCAGTATACTCAATAAAAATGTAACAAATGTAAAACATGGCTTGTGGGGAAAAGTTGTTCACTCCATAGGGAAACAAGACAGGACCACCTCCTTCCATGGTTCATGGCCCAGGGGAAAAAGCTGATGGCTCAGCCATGTGAGCTGATGAAGCAATGACTGGCCTGACTCTCCACCTGAGATACAGGGGACACGTGTCTCCTGTTCCCTGACTAAAGTTGCAGAAGGCAGTAGTCTGAAATCTTATCAGTTACTTCATGTTCCCAGCCTCATCCTTTCATCCTCTCTGTGAAAAAATGTGGCTAATGTGTTAATACTTTTTTGCAAACCTTCAAATTGTGAATTGTCCCTTTGTGTAAAATCTGTCACTGGTTTAAGGCTACGTTCAGGGAGTGTAGTTAAGCCTGCCACTAATTAAGATTGAGACCCTGGAGTGTCTATACTTCAGGGAACCTGGCACTCCAATTGCATCTATCCTTGTTCTTATCTATAATTTTTCTCATTGCAGATTGCACCCATGAGTAATGTAAGAGATGGACCCATGAGTAATGTAAGAGATGAGTCGGTCTCTAAGTTATCTTGCAATGGATGAATCTTTTAATGCATATTTTCCAAATGGATGAAGCCAATTTCCCAGAGGCTAATAACTGAATGATTCCACTCATATTATATTCTGAAAAAGGCAAAACTGTAGGAATAAAAATCAGCTCAGCAGTTATCAGTCTAGAGACAGGTGGGGTGTTACAAAGGACCTTTAAAAGGAATATTTAGGGTGATGATATGACATGATTTAATAGATGTGAATACCACAATGAATAAACTTTGCTAAATGTAAAGAAAATTAAAAAGCATACAAAGATGGTTAGGAAAACAGTGATGAAAATTGCGAAAAATGAATCTGTATTAAAATTAAATGACATAACTACACCTAAGTGTGTGTGTGTGTGTGGGGGTGATCTAACCAAAATGGGGAGAATATTTCAACTAGATACTGTAAGACTGAATGTAAAAAGAACTGAGTCCACTAGTCCATGGAAGAAGCACCCCACACTGTGTGATCCAAGGATTGTGAATGACAAAATTCAAACTCAAAGGAGGTAATGGTATCAGAGTTTAAATTGTGAACATTTGGTTTGGGGAAGGCTATGGATGACAGTGGGAGCCCGAAATCTATTTGCAGGGTTCACCCATGGATTGAGCCTCCAGTGAATTCCCTCTGGCCAGGGATGTGAATAGCCTTGCTGCCATGCAGAGTGCAGTGTTTTTCTTTTGTTTTCAATAGTTTCCTATGTTTTCTGTATGTGAAATCCAGGTTGGGTAGAGCTATAAAGACAATGATTACATGATCGTTTCTTGAAGGGGGATGGTGGGAAGTTTAAGGGGAAGCAGAGAGCTTACAACTATGGGTGCAGGAGGGAAGTAAATGTTCTAAAGTTGATTGTGGAGATGATTGTACAGCTCTAATTAGTATAATTGAAACAGAAATTAAAAGAACTGCAAACATTATACTCCATTTGGATTTTTTTCCTCTCTCAAAAACCTAAGTTGGCAATTATGAAACTGCTTAAACTATATATACTAATGCTGAGGAAAACAAGTAGATCTTTATAGATCAGGGGAGCCAGGTTTCTCTGAAGAAGCTTCCGTTTAGAAGAAAGGCGTGGAGAACTTCATAGAGTAGGAAACATAATATGAACTTTAATATTTATTGATAAATAGATATGAAAATGTATAGATGATATAGGTACATGTACAGTTGTGGGTCAATAAGTATTGCTACTAGGGTTTCAGTTCATGTATGCATGGGACTTTTTTCAAACCATACATGTTTAAACATGTCTCTGTGACCATTGAATGGCTACAGACAAGTTCTCTCAGTTATATACTTGTGTTAGTCTTGTTAAGACGTCCTAGTGACTCACATTTTGAGGTTTTTGTGTAATAAAAATGTCTGTTTTTGCACCAATACTTTTTGACTTACCCTTGTAGATATCTGAATATGTATATCCCTACCTTTCTCTACTAAAAGGGTCTAGGAGTGACACCTCAGTGGCCATAATATACTTAGTGTCCAAATTTTGGCTTATAACACCCCTCTCCAATAAGAAGAACCAATGCTCCTTGGAATAATAGCTGATTCTAGGGATGGAACAGAAAAATTACAAGATTAATCCAGAGAATCTTGCAGTACTATAAGTAATTGTGATATTGAGGTAGTTACTTAACTTTTGAGGTCATAGCTGCCTCATGGAACTGAAAATGGATAATCAGTGAGATCCACCCAAATGTTAAAATTCTGTTTCGAAGACAAAGGTCCACTTTCGACAAACACCATATTTCCCATAATTAAACAAGACTACAGCAAAAGGAAAATACAACAAGAAGGGTATTAAACAAGACTTAATTATAATTGAAAGTCAACAAAGAGACCTCGTCTGTTTGTCAATAGGGAAGGAGCCCTTGGGACGTAGTGGGTTAAGCACTGAGTTGCGAACCCATAAGGGCAGCGTTTTAAACTCGCCAGCTACCCTGGCGACGGCAGGACTATCTGTATGCATAAAGACATGGTTTTGGAAGCCCCAGGAAGCCTCGGGTCCTGTAAGGTCTGAGCTGAAATGAACTCGATGGGAGCGAATCAACATTCTGCTTATGATTTTCATCGCTTCAAAGCTACGTCTTTAGGTCATTTTCCTTTGAAGTTTTGCATTTTAGAAGACCAATTACTATGAGCAATATACTTTGTATTTTAATTATAATTTTTAAGTATTGTGGTTATTTATGCTCATTAAAAAATATCAGTAACCCAATGATCTGTATGTTTTTCCTTAGTGTAAGTTCAAGTACTAGAAGCAAGTACATTCCTTTCTATACGTAAGTAATGGTTCTAATTGTTAAAAAATAGTATATTTACATCTACAGTGTATTTCCTGTCTGTAAACTTTTGACAAAAGACAGGGAGGGTAATATTTTCCTATTTTCCTGAATTGACTATTTTATTAAATAAAAAACTTAAATGTTACCGCTATAGGACCTTGCCAATCAGAAACTTGATGCAGAAGATATGATATGCTCACTTACAATGAAGTAAGGATAATGTATTATCTTATTTTCTAACTTGAAATCAAACTTTATATGGATAAAAAAATCAGTCAGCATTTTGGAACATTCCACTTTGCTTCAGATTGAAGAATAACTTTGGAATAAAGGAGACTTATAAAACTAAAGAGGGGTCTAGGCATTTAATGCCGTAGACTCATTATTAATGCCTTTTCTTCAGCACCTTAAAGCTGATAAGGGTTCTAAGGAGCTTAGAACTGCCTCTAGAATACCTTCTCTTTGGCAGAAATGGACCCAACCGCCAGATCTCTTTTTAACTCCTGAAGTCGTTTTGTTTATTATCTAGGCCCCCGTCCCTCTCCCAGTCTTCTGTCTCTGTGGAATTCTTATTAGCTCTCATTGGCTTATTAGCCAACACTTGTAAGTCTCTGCTTATCCCAGAGCTTCCTCTCAGGCTCCTTAAACGGAACATCTGGGCTGCACAAATAGCCTGTTTATTTGCTCAGGGGTCTCTTGTACTTCAGTGCACACTTGATAAAATCCTGGATGTTTTTACTCAAAGAAGAGAAAAATCACCATTTCTTTTTTCTTCCTAAAAGATAGATTGTTCTTTCATCCAGCCTCATTTGAGAGAAAGGTTTATTTTTGCATTTTGAAGTTTGGTTTATTTTTACAATGGATATTTCCATTGAAAGTTAGAGTGGTGTTCATTTATTTTCTTGTAAGCTAACACATCTCTTATCTTTTCACAAAACAGTGGTTGTGTAGAGTCTACAAATGCTGATGATGTGGACAATCCCTTTGGAGATTTGACATCTCTAACCAAACCTCGGAGATCTAAACCCCTGTATACAAGCACAAATTGGTGAGTAACATTCAAAAATATTTCCTATATTTTTCTTAAGTATGAAAGATGATGATGGACGTTATTACAAATGAAGAGATACAAAACAGCAGGCTACTGAGCCCAAGGAGAAAGATTCCTGCTTTGTGAAAGAAGCACAGTGAAAGGGGGAATCGACCCCAAGGATCGATATATAACCCCCTCCCAGGGGGACAAACAACAGAAAAGTGGGTGAAGGGTGACAGAGGACGATGTAAAATATGGAAATAATAATCTATAACTTATCAAGGGTTCATGAGGAAGGGAGGATGAGGGAGGGAGAAAAAATAAGCTGATACCAAAGGCTCAAGTAGAAATAAAATGCTTTGAAAATGATGACAACATATGTACAAATATGCTTGACACAATGGATGAATGTATGAATTGTATTAAGAGATGTAAGAGTCCCCAATAAAAGTATTTAATAAAAAATAAAGAAAGAATTGCCGTATCACAAAGGCAATTACAGTTTCAGAGACTGGCTTACCTATGGGTCTTGGGCAAGTCACTTCACCGCAGTGGTCTTTATTTCTCCATCTGGAATCTATAGAGAAAAATTGCACCAAGCATGGTAACCATGAAAGGGATCAAATGTTTGTAAAGCACTGAGACATAGCTGACCAATAACTGATAGTTGATAAAGTTGTTCAAACTTGTTTTTATTTTTTCCCCACAAATAAGGTAAGTTTTTTAAGTGTTAAGATTTTGCTTCCCAGACCATTGCCCTGGCTAGTTGGCATGTATAGCCCAGTAGCAGTGAAAGATAATTGTTGTCAGAGGCAACAGAGAGATTATAAGGCACTAGATACTCAAGGTTGAGGAAGAACTTCTTCAGTACTGCCATTTAATATTTGGATTCATCACAACTGTCTTCATAACTTTTGTTTTGCCAAAGGGGAGACTGCACACAAAAAAGGTAAAATGGCTTCCATAAACTAAACTAAAGAAAAAAATGCAGTCTACAATTTGCAGTATTGAATGATTCTATAACAAGGTTCCAGGCATTGATGCACTATCCATTGAAATGCTGCAACAAGTTAATGCAGCACTGGAAGCACTCACCCTTCTGTGCCAGGAAATTTGGAAAATAGCTACTTGGCCAAATGACTGGGAGAGATCCATATTTGTATCCATTCCAAAGAAAGGTAACCCAAAAAATACCCAAGTTATAGAACAATATCATTAATATCATGCAAGTAAAATTTTGCTGAAGATCTTCCGACAGCCCTTGCAGGAGTGCATTTGCAAGGAACTTCTTCCAGAGGGTCAGGTTGAATTCAGAAGAGGACATGGGTGCCATATGAATCTTGGCTGAAAGCCGAGAATACTAGAAAGATGTTTACTTGTGTTTTATTGACTTAGAAAGGTATTCAACTATGTGGATCATAACTATAGATAACCTGGGGAAAATAGAACATTCCAGAACACTACATTGTGCTTATGAGAAAACTGTACATGGATCAAGAAGCAGTTGTGTGAATAGAGCAAGAGAATAGTGCCTGGATTAAAAATCAGGAATTGTCTCTATCCATCCACTCCTTCTGTGCTTAATAAACTAAGGAACCTAACATAAATCATAAAAAAACAAAACAGAACAGAAATAATAATATAGAGATAAAAATAAAGAGTAAGAAAGACCACCAGAAATATATTCTAAATGTTTATGGTGCTGGAAAAGAATATTGAAAATAGCATGGTCTGCAAAAAGAACAAACAAATCTGTCTCAGAAGATGTACAGCTAGAATGCTCCTTAGAGGCCAGTATGGCAAGACTTCATCTTACATACTTTGTAGATGTTATCAGGAGATACTAGTCCCTGGAGAAGGACATTGGTACCGCACTTGGTAAAGTCGAGGGACAGCAAAAAAGAGGAAGGACCTCAACAAAATGGATTCGCGCAGAGCCTTCAAAAATGGACTGAAACATAAAGACAATTGTGAGGTTGATGCTCTACCAGGCAGTGTTTTATTCTGCTGTATGTAGGGTCCCCATGAGTCAGAACTGACTCAATGGCAAACAACAGCAAGAGCTTAAGAGATCAGACTTGAAGTCCTGCTCCCCCTTCATTATTTACTGAGCAAACTAATATCATGGACATCACCATCAGTGTCCATAATGAGTAACAAACATTGCAGAAGTTTCCCTGCAAGATAGTAATGAATTATGAGATTTTTAATGTGCCTTATTTTATATTTAAAATGAAAAATATTATGCCCATGAGCATCTTCTAAACTGATATATTCTATTATTTGCTAAGTGCCCTATATAACTTAATTTTTTATGTGATCATATTTATTATGATTATCTAGTTTTTTATGTCATTTGGTTAAACTATAAAATATATATCAAAAGTAACTTTTATTTTAATATTAAAATATTTGTTTTTAATATAATTTTGTAACCTACAAATAATTATCTAAAGTAGCCTAGATACTTTAATAAGAACTATAGTATATAAAATTGAAGAGAGAAAAGGGCTTTGCTGTCAAATAACTTAAAATTTAGGAGAGTAGATAAGCTATATGTGTACTAATCATTATATGATGAAGCAGAATGAAATAAAGCATTATAAACTTTTAGCTTCACCCATAGGTCTTAAAGACTGTAGTATTTAAGCTGAGTCCTGAGAAAGGTATGTTGGTATGTTTTTTCCATGGATTTGAAAAGTAAATTATTGCTATTAAATATACTTTTGTGTGGTGCCATAGCATCAGTGTAGACTAAAAGAGACTCTGAAGCCCAGAACAAAACCCTGCTGGGTTCTGTGCCATTCCCACAGTCATTGCTGTTTGAGTTCATGGTTGCAGTTATTGTCAGTCTGTCTTCTTGAAAGTATTCTTTTTCACTAACCTAATTCACCTTACTTCTAAAGAGAATCCAGCTATACATTTTCAAATAAAGATTTGCTCATTCTTCCGGCAGTCCATGATATATTAAGTATTCCTCAGTGTTCTTCAAATGCATCAATTCTTCTTTGATCTTCCTTATTCATTCTCTAGCTTCTGCATGAATATGGGATGGTTGAAAATACCCTGGCTTGTGCCAGGCACAACGTAGTCTTCAAAGTAATATCTTTGCTCTTTATCACTTTCAAGAGGTGTTCTGCAAATTTATCCAATGCAATGCATCATTTGATTTCTTGACTAATACGTTCATGCGTGATTAAGGATTAAGTAAAACATAATCCTCAGTAGCTTTAATGTCTTCGTAATTTATCATAATGTTGCTTATTAGTCCATTTGGAGGATTTTTGTTTTCCTTATATAGAGGTGTAATCATACTGAAGACTGTAATCTTTCATCTTCATCAGTTAGTGTTTCAAGTCCTCTTTACTTTCAGCAAGCAAAGTTGTGTCATTTGTTTATCACCTGTTAATGAATCTTCCTCCAATCCTAATGCCATTATCTTCTTCACATAGTAAACCATCATGTATTGAATAAATATGAATAAAGGATACAATCCTAATGGACACCTTTCTAGATTCTAAGCCATTTAATATCCATCCCCTTGTTCTTTTTGAATGATTGCATGTTACTTATGGACAGATTTTTCATGAGTACAATTAGGTATTCTGGAATTCATATTTTCACAATGTTATCTATAATATTTTATGATTCATATAGCTGAATGCCTTTGTATAGTTAATAAAACATAGGTACACATTTCTCTAGCAAGATTCATCTAATGTCAGCATTGATTTTTGTCACTCTACACCTTCTGAATCCATGGCAGTTTCATGTGCATGTACTTATACAACCATTAAAAATTTTTCTATTTAGCAAAATTTTTCTTGTGTAAAATATTAAAAATAGTGCTTGATTATGTTCCTATTCTGGCACAGTGGTTACACTTTGAATTGCCAACCACAGGGTGAGTCATTCAAAACTACCTGTCAATCTGAGAGAGAAAGACAGGGCTTTCTACTCCTGGGAAGAGTTGCAGTCTTGGAAACACACAGGGGCAATTCTTCCCTGTCTTGTAGGGTCACCATGAGTTAGAATGGACTCGATGGCAGTAAATGAGCTCACCTTTCTTTGGAACAGGCACAAACAGGATCTCTTCCAGTCAGTTGAATAGGTTGCTGTCTTCTAAGTTTCTTTGCATAGACAATTAAACACCAGTACTGTATCCATTTGCCAAACATTTCAACTGGCATTCCACCAATTCCTGGAAACCTTTTGTTTTTGTTTGTTTGTTTGTAACTAATGTCTTAAATGTGACTGGGACCTCTTCTTTCAATAACATGATTTTTTCTTTTTAATTTTTATTATTTTTAATTTTAACAGTCTAATTTACATTGATGTATAATTCACATATAAGATAATAGTTTAAAATATTGAATAGAATTGTGCAACCATCACTACAATAATTTTAGAACATTTTAGTCTTTCTTGTACTCATTGTTATTAGCTCTTCGTCTCCCCCTACCCCTGCTCCATCACCAAGAACCTATTAATCCAGTTACTGTCTATAGGTTTACCTATCCTGGATGTCATTTCCTGAAAACCATACAACAACAAAAAGCAAACATTGAACAATACCAAAAAAACCCTGGTAAAACTTTGATTCTTGATCATATGTTACCTCCTAAAATGGTTGAATGTCAACTTTTTTTTTTTGATACAGTGATGCTCTGTATTCTTTCCATCATATCTTGGTTCTTTTTCTATCATATTTTGCACAAAGTGTTGCTACTCAAGTCTTGAAATTTTTCTTCAATTCTTTCAGCTTGAGAAAAACTGAGTGTGTTCTTCCATTTTGGTTTTCTTACATCAGATCTTTGCACATTTCATCATAATACATTAATGTCTATTCTCAAGCCACTCTGAAACCTTCTGTTCAAGTCATTTACTTCATTCACTTTAGCAGTGAATGATGCCGCAATCCTTTAATAAAATTCCTCGTGTTGTGACCCCCAACCATAAAATTATTTTCATTGATACTTCAGAACTGTAATTTTGCTACTGTTATGAATCAGATG